CTTTAAAATGTTTTACAGAAGCCGGATCTGTAAAATGCCATTTCACAACTGGTCCCCAGCTCTCTCTGCTAGCTTCCAGAGCCAGGGAGCTGGCAGACCTGCTCAGGTAAGAGTTTAGGCCCATCCCTAGTATACCTGGCCTACTGACAGTTCATCGCATCCGTTTGTGAGGATGGTAGGGTGTTGCTGGTGTTTGCTCCAGCTTCTCCACACAAGAGATGTTGTGTGTCAGTATGAGACTCTGACAATTAATGTCTTTGGGAAGAAAAACCTTGGCCACTTCACAAGGTTTCAGCCCCAGTCTCCCTTGATGGTTCCAGATGCTCCTCCCTATAGATGGTTGCTTTTCAGAAGACGGTGCGAACAATTCCTCCCATACCGCCTATTCCTTCAGCAAGTTGTGCTTCTCCGGTTGAAAGGCAGGGTTTTTGGTCTCCTCTGAGTGAATTTGGCCACAGTGGTAATTCCCTCAGAATCCACTAAATGCGAGTGACACCGTGTGATTTCTGAAGGTATGATGTGAAAGTGATTGTCATTTCTTTCTTGTCTTCTAGAACACTTGCACACGTAGCTCACAGCCACCAAGGAAGCAGTGCACACACCCTGATTCTCCATGCTGTGAGGAAACTCAGTGGCCCACGGTGAGAGACCACAGGGATGGTCTCAGGAGATGTCTGACTAGTACCCCACCCCAGCTTCCGGTTCTCCAGCTGCCGACTCTACCGCTTCCGGACACTGTGATCACTGGAGCTACTTGAGCCAGAAATGCTGCGTGTAACCCTCAGAGTCCAAGGCCACAGCTCAAGCGACTTTGTTCTGGGCTGTTTTGTCTTGTAGTAGCCCCACTGCTATTTCTGGCCTCTATGGCAGGACACGTCAATGTTCAGCCATACCCCTTCCTTCTTGTCTTTGTTAGTGGCATTGCAGCTTGGCTCTGTCATCTACCTGATGAAAGCCTCACAAAAGTATCTGAGGCATTATTTTCCTCATCCAATGAAGAACAAGACTTGTTGCCGAGTTGCGAACACAGCAACTGTACTTGAGTTGAGGCAGCCTTGGCTCAACCCAAGGCCTTGTCTCAAAGTTGTAATAATAATAATAATAAATGACAATATAATTGCTGCTAATAGTATAGACCATGGGAGCTCTACAGCAAATTAGGATGACTTCATTGTGCAACATTCCACATCGTCCTGGGAATGTTCCTGTAATGGCTTAGATGTGAGATGTTCCCCTACAGGCTTTTGTCACTACCTGGTCACTAGCTGGTGGCTCTGACTCTGTTTTGAAAGGTGGTAGGACCTTTTGGACATGGGGTCTAGATGACAAACAGGACCATAGGAGCAGGGCCTGAGGGTGAAAGGCCAGCCCTGGCCTAAGTTCCCTGAGTTCATGACAGGTGCAGATAGAAGAACCCACAGGCTCCTGATACCACGCCCTCCATACCAAGATGAAGGATACCCCCAAACTGTGAGTCTGTCTCTCTTAGGATGCTCCTGTCAGGTATTTGGTGACAGGGATGAGGAAAGTATCCACCATGATTCAAATACACCACTGTCCTATAATTTTTCTGGCCATGTTGTGGTGCAGCTGTGCAACCAGGAAAATGACTAGGATAGGTTGAACAGCTCATGGAAGGACAAGGAACACCAAGCCCCTGGCCAGAATCCAGGAGATCCTTTTGCTTTCTGGACCTTGGCTCTCAACTAGACAGTCTCATGAATCATCAGCGCTCGCAGCCTACCTTAGCCTTTTCTCTCCTGTATCCTTTCTCCCTTCCCTTCGATCTACTCTAGTGTTGCCTTTTGTGCCCAGCCACCCTCTTTCCCATCTCTAGCACTAGCTACTTGGTAAATGTGCATTTTATCACAGTCTCATTGTAGCTTGCTGGACCATCCAAGAAACACAAGGCTTATTCTCATATGAGGAAACAGAAACACAGATTTCAGATGATCGAAGCCAGCCACATTTAGAGACCCTCTTTACCCATCACATACATCCACGCTTTCAACCAGTGCTCTCAACGGAACACCCTGAAATGAGACCTGCAGGCCTGGGTCATCATCCAGCCCCACTCCTCATTCTCACATTTCCCAGGGAGGAACCACTAAGCAAGGTTCTGACCTCCACTACCTTGGTTCAAAGACAAGCTTTGTTTTCCTTCTTACATTAGGCATGGGAAAGTCTTAGCAACATTTCTCCTCACGAGCCCCAGTGAGTGTTGGTCACCACAAAAAACGCAGAGTCAGAGGAGGGACTTCACCTCCAAAGGAGGCCATGAGCTTCCCTAGGGAAGGCAGCCCAGAGGCACCAAACCTGGGTACAAGGATGGCCACACTCTCCTATCAGGTTTTCCTGGATTCGTTAAGAACACCGAGAGCTTTGGGAACAGTTTCAATGAGTAGCCTCAAGAAGACTGATTGTTTAATAACCTTAATTTTAGAACCCAGAGAATGCTAGGATGTATGACCCCAGGACAAATAACACTCTTTGATTTTCCTTCTTTTTGAAAAGAATCAGTGAAAAGGAGTCTGAAAGTCAGATAGGACACACCCTCTGGACAGTTGTATGTACCTCTGATATGAAGTCCCTCATCTCCAAAATGGGGATTAATAGCCAGACGATGGGACTAGAGCGTGAACTGATTTGGTAGCTCAGAAAAAGGTTGTGAGCCCCCTGGCATGGGTACTGGGAACCGAACTCAGGTCCTTGGAGAGAGCAATATAGACTCAACGGCTGAACCAGTCCTCCAATGAGCATCACCGTTATTTTAAACACAAAGAACTTTGAACGAAGTGATTGATAAATGTTATCTTACCCCATACCAGCAGCCCCTTCTCTTTGCATTTGAAAATCTCTACTCCTTTGATTAAACTTAGATGGTAATTGTTGATTTTTTTTCCTGGTTAGCGAAGTCAAAGTAATAGGCTTGAAAGTTGGGTTTGAAGGGTTGAAGTTGAGTTTTAGGTAAATTCTGGCCTAAGTGTGTGGGAAAGAGCCATGAACTGATAAAATGTTCATTTCCAATGACAAGATACAGCAAGGACAGGCTTGCACGGATAACTCTTATCTCTTGGCAATCTTGAGGCCAAAAGATATCTTAAGGCTCCTTTTGGAATGAACTTGTTACTCATCAGCATGTGTCATTTCTGGGTTTTGTTGTTGTTGTTCCACGAGTGAAATCTGCCATACTTTACCACTTTCAAAGGGGCAGCATTAAACACAATTGTTTTGTATACTGATGGCATAAGGTTTGTATGTTTGGGGTTGGTGGTCCACATTTTATTAGTGTTCAAACTCAAGGATAATCCAGGTGTCTAAAAATCCAATGTTCAGGTGGAAAGTAGCCCTGGAAAAATATCTTCACTTACTTAGAATCAGAGCATTTTCTAATTGTCACAGTATACGTGGGAAGAGTTTAAGCTGGAAGGTTCTTCGCGCTTAACGTGATAGTGATTGGGGCTGGAGGGCAAGCTTTAGTGGTTAAGAGCTTTGCTGTCTTGCAAAGTCTTTGCTGTCAAGCCAAGTGTGACTCCCATCACTCACAATGGGTGATTCACGACTACCTGTCACTCCAGCTCCAGGAGAGGTGAAGCCCTTTGGCCTCCAAGGGCACCTGCGCACATGCACACACACACGTAAAAATAAATATTTCAAAATGAAGGCAACAATGACAGCAGTGGTTCACACTTAGGCAGAATTTTATGGGTCACATGGCTTTCTTGCTAACATTTCTATTAAGGCTCCATCCACCCTGTGAAGCAGGCATAGAAACACAGATTATCTCCAAATGACAGATGAGAAAACAGAGAGCCCAGGAGTTTCAATAACTCATCCAGAGGCACGAAGTCTCGTTTCCTCAGCCTGAATGCACCACAAAGAGCTCCAGCAACTGGAGACGAGACGTGAAACAGAAGAATTCGTTCAGTTACGAATCTTGGTAAATGTGTCAGTCCTGGAGAACCAGGAAGGGCAGCTCCCTACGAGCCTGCCAAAGGAGGGAGCGTGTGGAGCAGACAGCACACAGCCCACCAGCCCGTGGAGTAGCTGGTAAGGGTTAGAAGAAAGCCAGAGTCGGTGTGTTAACTGAGGGCCATAAGAAGGGCCTGATGTGTGAGTTTCTGATTGCTGCTATAAGGAAGTACACGACCGTTGTGGTTTAAAACAACACAAATTATGTCCCTAAGGTTCTAGAAGCCTCTGCAGTCGGAGTTAAATCTGAGGATTCTTTTCCTCGTCTCTTCAGCCTTTATCTTTGATGTGCACCTCTTCCTCAGTCCTCAAAGACCATCACTCAGATCCTGCTGCATGCCATCAACCTCGGCGCTCCCCTCACCTCGCTTCTCAACATCCGGGTGCTTGTGTGGCCCCTTCTGGATGACCTAGGCTGATTTTCCACCGCTCAGTTCTCAATTTAATCCTGTCTGGGAAGGGAGGTATCATGCATTCACAGCTCTGGGGATTAAGTCGTGGGCACCTCTGAGGCCATCGTTCAGCCTCTCACAGGTGATAACGGTGACAGGTGGATGGTGGCAGTTGTTTTGGGCTGGCAAGTGCAGCACTGGTTGTGTTTGCCTGTTGAAAGTCACTCTCCTCTGCCACCTGACATGCAGGACCAAAATAGAACCCGTGTGTCTTCTGATTCAAAATTAAATGCTCTTTCAGGCCGAGCACACATTGCCTCTCCGCACTGGCATTCACTCTTGCAGATAGCCCATTCTTGTATAGATAGTAATTAATATTTGCATAATGCTTTGGAGTTTACAATGTCCCTTTGTATTTACATGAAATCATTAAACCCCTATGATAACCTTCTGAGACGGTTATTATTAACACAGTTTTACATATGAAGACACTCAGGCTCGGAGGAGTGAGATGGTTTGTCCAAGGTCACGCAGCTGGTAAGGACAAGACCACGATGCAAAACCGTGAACTTCTACTCTGTTCAGCTCTGAATAACAAACCTGCACTTGTCTAACTTTACTGGATACGGTACTTACTCCTGTGCAGGTACTCGGAGGATGACCGGCGTCTCAGACATGCTTTTGAGAGGAAATGAGTTTCTAAGTGTCTTGGTACTTTGTAGTATGCAGAATGAGTCAGGACACATTCCCATCATCTCTATAATCACTACCATCACCATCATCATCATCATCACCATCCCTATCACCATTTGTTCTGGAGACCAAGAAAATTCAATAGGTGAAAATTCATTATTGCCGTTTGTAATATTGACGCCACTATATTGTAGTCCTTAGAAACAATGCTGTTATAATACGCCTCAGGGTTCTGTGGTTTGTTGGCTGTCGTGCAGGTGTGATTAGTGAGAGTAGCCAAGCTCTTGTGCCCTTGCAGATAAACAAGGTGGCTCGCTGCTTAGTGAAGCAGGAATCCTTAGGTAGATCACTTTATAGTGGCCCTTCCAGGTGCATGGTGATGCTTGCTACTTTTCTATTCCCTTCCCTGGTTTCTTCTCTCTCTCTCTCTCTCTCTCTCTCTCTCTCTCTCTCTCTCTCTCTCTCTCTCTCTCTTTCTCTCTCTTTCTCTCTCTCCTACAAGGCCACTTGCTAGGGATCTCAAGGCCAACTACTTGGATGGACAGAAGGGGAATTAAGATTGACAGAATGCAGGACACTGGGGACAGGGGACCGCGGTCAGGTCATGGCGGGTCTTTTTCAGGTGGAACTCCACTTCACCACCCCTCCTGGTGTTCGGCCTTTTTTAAGACTAGCCACCAACATCTGAAATTTGCAACCTCAAAACCAAACTAGGGGTTCACTGGGAGGACTAGCCAAGCTGCCCTCCACATGTGGCGGAGCAGTCAGCCGGCCCCCCACTTCATTTGAGTGAGACCGCCAAAAGCCTTCACGTGGCGCCTTGGCCACAGAAGTGTAATTAGGAAGTGGTCCCTGCCCTTCACAATGGCCGCCCTCACTGGGCCAGGCAGGGGTGACGAAGGGAGGCAGGTGCATTCAAATGGTCTTGATTTGACCAAGGGAAATGAAGTACTAAAACCCAAGTCAGTTCCGCAATGAGTCAGAACGGGGGAGGGGAAGACTCTCCAGGGTCTCTGGCCCTTGTTCTTAGGAACGGGCGGGCGTTGCTTCTGGTAGTTACCTTAGGAACCATGCTTGTTTCTGGTGCTCAATTGCTGCGAGATAGGTACTAAATTGTTTCCGGCCCCTACCAATAGTTCTTTTCGCTTTCAAACTCAGATGCTTAACCATGCAAGTTCCAGCCACCTGAAATGTTCCCTGAACCCCAATAATCCACATTTCTGCTTCTTCAGATCCCACCCATACTTCATGCTCACAGTTAGCTGCTTCTTAGAAGCCTTTCCTTGGCCCAGCGAGGTGGCACACGCCTGCAGTCTCCACCCTTGGAAGACCATGGGAGGAGGATTGCTGTGAGTTGAGGACGAGGCTGGGCCATGGCATTGAGAACTCATTTAAAACACAACAAAGAAAAGAAGTCCCTAGGAAAATCTAGGAAGCCCTTTGTTACGGGAGCCCCGCCCCCCTCCCATCCTTTTCCTCTCGGTGACATGTGCACATCAGTTTGAAAATGAAAACAGTTTCTCACCTAGATGTTGAGCACCCTGCTAAGCGCCCTCACGCTTTTTATTTAATTTCCCATTTCACCCCCAATGTTAGACAAAAATCTCCACAAAGGCAGAGACAGTGGCTCATTCTCTACCCGCCACCGCCGCCGCCGGGTGGCATGCTCCCTGTAAATTGCTATTGGATTAACACTTTTAGAAAACTTCTTGAAAACAAAATTTTAGACTGGTAAAGAACTTCAAGTTAGCCAGAAGTGGTCTCACATCACTCCTAACCTCCTACCGCTGGCTCAGGACACCCTACACGTACCCCATTCACCAGTGCAGCCCTCTTTCTGTGGTCCCGGGGGACTCCACATTGCCAAGTCAATCTTCCTCCATTTTCATCATTCTCATACCCACAGTAGTATTTTCATATTTTTTTTAATTAACTGCTTCATCCTTTTTTTTTTTTTTTT